TGGACACCCTGCACCTACCGTCAAGGTGAGGGCCCAGCATTGCGAGTAGCTTCGGTAGCTCCTCCAGCCACTGTCACATCTCCTGAGGCCCCACGGCCCCTGAGCCCGTGGTGGTGCGAGTGCCGCCTCGGCACCTATCTACGCCTGCTGTTGAACCACCAGCGCCTTGTCCCCCCAGGGCCTGCAGGGACACCCAGGAGCGGGAAGGTCAGAGGACCCATCCCCAAGGAACCCTCCTCATCCTCCCCAGAGGAGGTGGCCGTGGGCACGTCTTCCTCCCTCCCTGCCCCTGGCGTGAGAGCTCCCCAGGACTTCTTGCACCGAGTGTCTCTCAGCCTTGCTGTCCCCACTGAGGAGGTGGTGGAAGCTGCAGACCCTGTGGTGGACTTCTGGGCCCCCAGGTCCGTCCAGGGCGGCTTGACTCCTCAAGACAATGCAGTCGGACAGTCTGTTTGTAGCACACCTCCCCCAGCCCCTGCTGCTCCATTCATTCTTGGCGCATTATCAGAGTTCCAGACCTGCTCCCTGCAGACTCGTGGGGTCTTGAAAGAGGGCAAGATGGCCCTCCAGGCCGCGCTGGACTCAGCCACCAGGTCGATGGCCACGGCCGTTGCCAGGATGCAAACGGCCTGGCTCCAGGTGTCTGGTCTCCCCGCCCAGAGGACCAGACCACCATTCAGGACGATCCCTTCTACTGGGAGCCTGTTTTCTGAGAAAACGGACGCCAGGCTGCACGGTCTTAAGGGTTCTGAGTGGGATCCGAACGCCGTCACCTCAGTGCAAGCCATTTAGGTCTCAGCCATCCTCATGCCTCTTCTAGGGCCCCTCTGGGCAGGAGTAACGGCGCAGACAGACTTTCCATTCCTCCGGCCAGGGCCCCAGCCCCCTCAACCCTAAATCCAACCTCCGAGGGTTTGCCCGAGGACGGAGACCAGTCCAGTCCCTAGCGCTCCCCCTGCCCGCCATTTGGCAGTCATCTGCCCCTTTTCTACCGTGCTTGGGCCAGTATTACCTCAGAGCGGTGGGTCCCCAGCGCGACACGGGAGGGATATTCCATTCAGTTCTCTGCCCCTGCCTTCCCCGTCCCTCTCCAGGGACCCTTCTCATGCGCCGTTCCTTACTCGGGAGGCTCAGTCCCTCCTCGAGCTGTGGGCAGTAGAGGTGGCCCCTCGGTATTTCCTTATCCCCAGAGCCAAGGACAGGCTCAGACCCATTATGGGGCTTCGAAATCTGAACTTGATCATAAGGAAATTCAAGTTCTGTTTGGTTTCCATTGCAACCACCATCCGCTCCCTAGGTCCTGGGGACTGGCATGCCGCCCGCCACGTGAAGGACGTGTACCATCGTTCCCACACACAAGAGATTTCTCGGGTCACTGGGCACCAGTCCTGTTCGGTCTTGCCATGGCACCGCGGGTGTTCACAAAGTGCACGGCCGTGGTGGCGGCCTTTCTCTGCAGACAACAAGTACAAGTCTTCCCGTCCCTCCAAGACTGGCTCATCCAGGGCTGGTCCCATAGCAGGTCCACCAGCATGTGGCGCTGGCCCTTTGCCACGCTCGGTCTCATTCTCAACAATCCAAAGTCTCAGCCGGTCCTGGCCCAGAGTTCATTGGGGCCCTTCTAACTCGGCCCATACAAGAACCTGCCCGACTCTCAGCATGACAGAGCAATGGGAAGGTGCAGAGCAATGTCGCCCCGATAGTTATTGTAAGTTCAGCTCCATGGCCACCTCCATTGAACACACCAAGTCGTTTTGTAAATCACCACAACTCCTATTACAGTAGCGGAATGGCTAAGGGAACTGCCCATCCCGTCCTGAACCAGGCCCTGCTGTGACCTAGCCAGTGGCCCAGCTTCCTCTGTGGCGTTCCTGGTGCAGGACATCTGCAGGGCGGTGCCGTGGTCCCTGTTCACACCTTCGCCGACACCCCGCAGGCCCGGGACGACACGGCGTTCTCCTGATGGCAGTGCGTTGGTCTCCAACCTCTCCTCCAGGTAAACTGCTTGCACGTCACCTGTTGGCACGCACGTGGGCGATTGCTCGAAGAAGAAAAAACGGTTCCTTACCTTTGTCACGGTGGCTTTTCCAGAGCTGCTGCGTGTCCGTCCCCCCGCTGTCAGAAAGCTGGCAAGAAGGAACCGAGGGGTGGCAGGTCGGCTGAGCCCCATGTTCTGCGCCATGCAGGGGACTTCACAGCCAACCCGCTGGGTATCAGCAGGGGAAGAGCCTTCCGACAACTGTGCTAGCACACACGCCTGTTGGGACCTGCTGAATGGACTTACGCAACGCTGGGTTAACTCTGCAGTTACCAAAATAAACAACTGTGTCTTTCTGGAATGCTCCATTAAGACCACCCCCTGCATCCATCTGCCAGGCCTGGCAGTCACCACACAGAGGGCAGCTGTTGGGAGCAGTTGGTTGCACATGCTGCGCTCAGGGACAGCGCAAAGCCAGACCCCTCCTGGAGCTCCGCAGGGAACGTGAGATGCCTTTGCCGTGTCCCCACTGAACGGCTCCATGCCCAAGGGAGCAGATGCAGCTTTCATGGCCCAGCAGGGCTCAGTTCTGGTGCAGAAGCAAACGTGAACCTGCTGATTCCGTTTGTGTTGCCTTCCTCAGAGGATCCCTGATTGTCAAAATGGTCAGTATTAGTGGCATTTTACAGCTGGGAAACTGAGGCTCAGCGTGGGGCATGGCTTGCCTATGTGACCCACAGAGTCGCTGGTGGAGGTGGCAGTAGAACCACCATCCCCTCTGCTGAGCTCACCCCCCGAAGGTTGGGGGGGACACTGCTGCAGAACTTGGCTCATCCTCCAGCTGGCAGGGGACTGGTCGGGGGAGGGAAGAGACCCTCCCAGGAAAGCGTGTAGAGATGTGGATTGGACTGGACAGTGACTAGGTCAGGGCATCCCTGCTCTGCTCACGCATAGAGAGCTCTGTCAGGGCTGGGAATGTTTGGCGGCTCTGCCAGCAGTTCCTTTGGGTCTCAACTGCTTTCACCCTTTCAGGCTCCAGACGGCGCATTTGGGTACTTGAGCGCCCCGGCGCCCCCTGCCGCCTCTCCTGGCAAGCTGCTGTCTCAGCTGGAACTCAGCACAGCACAGGCGGGCACAGAGATGGCTCCTGCTGCCCCCACCTCCCACCTGACCGCTGCAGCAACGCCGCCTGTAGGTGAGGCGCATGGCAGTCCCGGGGCTCACGCCGCCAGGCCGTGGGTCTATGCCGAGGTGACTCCTGGGGGTGCTGTGGGAGTGTTGCTGCATTGCCAGGCCCCCCAGCTGCCTTGGGCTTTGTTTGTCACTGGTTGGTTTGAGTGCGCGCCACGTCCCCCAAATGCCCAGCTGGTTCTTGGAAGCTGGACTCCCTGGCCCAAGTTCCCAGCTGCTCAGGGTGTGCATTTCTGCCGGCTCTGCCCAGGCGCCCGATGCTGCTTCCCACAGTGGCAGCTCCCCTGCTGCGCATTGTTGGCCTGGACTAGAGAGAAGGCCCCAACCCACTGCAGCTCAGTAAGTGTCTGTGGCCCAGGGAGAATCCAGAGCGTACCACCATGCTGCCGTCTGTGGAGCCCTTAGCGAGCTTTGGGGAGACGCGCGTCACCGCCGGCTTGAGTGTTTTGTTCCCGTGGGTTTCCAAGTGAGGAGAAGAGCTCTAGGCTCGGAGCAGACTGGACCAAGCCCCACCAGAGCAGGGTGGAGCTGTGTACTTGTCTGCCTCATTTCTCAAAGACTAAACAAACTACCTTGGAAATCCCCAGCAGGGAAGTGGCAAACTGCTCTTTTCTTTCTCGCCTCACTCTGTGTTTCCCTGCAGGGCAAGGCTGTTGGCAGAAAGCTTTCGTGTGCCCCGTGGCCCTGTCCCAGTGCTTGTCTAGTGGCCAGAACTGGAGTAGGTGCTCCGGAGAAAGCAGATACAGCCCCTGCCCTTCCGAGTGTGCAGTTGAAATAACCAGGAGATACAAGCAGGACAGAGGGGTGGAGATGGAGGACAGAGGCGTGGTTTTCAACAACGCAGTCTAGGATTTTCCATACCAGTTCAGCCCTCTTGGTTCCGTTTCAGTGAGACACTGCCCCAGTGGGCATGCCATGTTGACACGTCAGTGGGAGGAGAGCACCACTCCCACCCAGCGTACCTTTTCTCAGTCGTCTGTGGTGGCCCTGGGGTTGGCCATGTTGGGTGACAGTGTGGTGGCCCCGGCAACAGCCAAAGCCATGCAGGTTCCTCTCCTGCTACTCCATTTAGTGACTCAGGACATGCCGAACTTCCACTTTCTTTGTGGCAGTCGCTTGTGCTCAGACGAGCCTTGAGGTGCCATGATGTTAGGGAGCTGCAGGTGCTGCCCGACATCTCAGCATTGTGGGTGCCAGGTGGGCCGGGTCCATTGCTGGCTTGAGAATGCTCCTGCTGCAGAGAATAGCTGTCAGGACGCCCGCAGGACACTTCCTCCCACAGCGGCGTCCCTGTGCTTGGCGCTCACTGCACCGGATCCTGCCTCCTGGCCTCAAAGAGATCGGTGACCTGGGCTGAGGTCAGCTGGTGGGGGAGGGGAGCTCATCTGACCCCAGGTAATTGCCACGGTGGCATCTCTTAGCCTTTCTGCTCCCTGAGAATCTGCAGGGCTGGCTTCTGTACCAGTACTGCAGGCACGGCATGACCCATGAGCGAGGGCTGAGGTAATGCCTAATGCCCCCAGTCCCTCGCTGCTGCTGGAGGCCATATGAGTACGATCTCAGTTAATCACGGTGGATTGTATAGCACCAGGAGCACTGAAATAGTTCTGGAGTCCTGGCCAGCTTGCACTTGGTGATTATCCAACGAGTTCCTGGGCTGCACTGGAGACAATGTTTTATTTCAGACAGTTGAGAGAGCTACCAGAGGGGAGCTGTTCTAGATTTGATTTTAACAAATAGGGAGGAACTGGTTGAGAATTTGAACGTGGAAGGCAGCGTGAGTGAAAGTGATGGTGAAATCGTAGCGTTCATGATACTATGGAAGGGTAGGAGGGAGAACAGGAAAATAGAGACAATGGATTTCTGGAAAGCAGATTTTAGTAGACTCAGGGAGCTGGTAAGTAAGGTCCCATGGGAAGCAAGACTAAGGAAAAACAACTGAAGAGAGTGGGCAGTTTTTCAAAGGGACATTATTAAGGGCCCAAAAGCAAGCTATTCCGCTGCATTGGAAAGTATGGTAAGATCTCATTTTTGCTTAATCAAGAGATCTTACATGATCTAAAAATCAAAAAGGAGTCCTATAGAAAGTGGTACCTCGGTCAAATTACAAAGGAGGAATATAAGCAAATAAGTAAGTATGTAGGGGCAGGATTCGAAAAGCAAAGGCACAAAACAAGCTCAATCTAGCTAGAGCCATAAAGGGTAACAAGAAAACATTCTACAGATACATTAGAAGCAACAGGAAGACCAAGGACAGGGGCTAGGCCCATTGCTCAGTGAAGAGAGAGAAACAGTAACAGGAAACTTGGAAATGGCAGAGGTGCTTAATGACGTCTTTGTTTCGGTTTTCACCAAGAAGATGGATGGTGACGGGATGCCTAACATAGTGAATGCTAGTGGAAATGGGGTAGGTTTAGAAGTTAAAATTTTTAAAAAAAGTTAAAAATTACTTAGAAAAGTTATATGTCTTCAAGTCACCAGGGCCTGATGAAATGCATCCCAGAATACTCAAGAAGCGGACAGAGGAGGAATCTGAACCTTTAGCTATCATTTTTGAAAAATCATGGAAGATGGGGGAGGTTCCAGAAGACTCTTTCTATTCTCTTATTCTCAAAGGGATAGAGAATAAGACAGAGAATATCTTATTGCCTCTATATAAATCCTTGGTACACCCACTTCTTGAATACTGCGTATAGATGTGGTTGCCTTATCTGAAAAAGATGTATTGGCATTGGAAATGGTTTAGAAAATGGTAACAACAATTATTAGGGTTTGGAACGGGTGTTATATGAAGAGAAATTAAAAAGACTGGGACTTTTCATCTTAGAAAAGAGGAGATAAAGGGGGATATTATAGACATGTATAAAATCATGACTGGTATGGCAAAAGTGAATAAGGAAAAGTTATTTACTTGTTCCCATAACATAAGAACTAAGGGTCACCAAATGAAATTAATAGATAGCAGGTTTAAAACAAACAAAAGGAAATTTTTCTTCAATGAGTGCACAGTCAACCTGTGGAACTCCTTGTCAGAGGATTTTACGAAGACCAGGAGTTTAACAAAGTTCAAAAAGAACTAGATAAATTCATGGAGGTCAGGTCAATCAATAATTATCAGCCAGAATGGATAGAGATGGTGTCCCTAGACTCTATATTTGTCAGAGGCTGGAGATGGGTGACAGGAGAGGGATCACTTGATTCCTGTTCTGTTCACTCCCTCTGGGGCATCTGGCATTGGCCACTGTCAGAAGTCAGGACACCGGGCTAGATGGACCTTTGGTCTGATCCAGTGTGGCTGTCCTTATGACTGGAAAAGGGCAGGTATAGTGCTCATCTATAAAAAGGAAAATAAGAAGAACCCAGGAAACTACAGACCAGTCAGCTTAACCTCTGTGCCAGGGAAGATAATGGAAGAAATAATTAAGAAATTCATCTGCAAACATCTGGAAGATAATAAGGTGATAGGCAGGGCTCGCCGAGCCACAGCGAGCCCCGCTCGCCAGCCGCCCTGTCTGGCATTCTGCGCATGCACAGATTGCCCGAACCCGGCTCTTCCGGGATGTAACCTGCTCGCCATGGGTGAGTAGATTACATAGATTGTCGAACCCTGGTGATAGGTAACAGCCAGCAGGGATTTGTGAAGAACAAATAATGTCAAGCCAATCTGGTAGCTTTCTTTGATAGGATAAGGACTCTTGTGGACAAAGGAGAAGCCATGGACATGGTATACCTAGACTTCAGTAAGGCATTTGATACTGTCTCGCACGACCTTCTTATCAGTAAACCAGGAAGATACAACCGAGATGGGGGCTACTATAATGTGGGTTCATAACTGGCTGGGAATAGTTCTCAGAGAGTAGTTATTAATGGTTCACCATCATGCTGGAAGGGCGTAACTAGTGGGGTTCCGCAGGGGTCTGTATTGTTCAATATCTTCAACGACTTAGATATTGGCATAGAGAGAGAGGACACTTATTAAGTTTGCAGATGATACCAAGCTGGGAGGGGCTGCAACTGCTTTGGAGGATAGGGTCATTATTCAAAATGATCTGGACAAACTGGAGAAATGGTCTGAGGTAAACAGGATGAAGTTTAATAAGGACAAATGCAAAGTGCTCCACCGAGGAAGGAACAATCCGTTTCACACACACGGAATGGGAAGCGACTGTCTAGGAAGGAGTACGGCAGAAAGTGATCTAGGGGTCAGAGTGGACCACAAGCTAAGTATGAGTCAGCAGTGTGACGCGGTTACAAAGAAAGCCAACATGATTCTGGGAGGCATTAACAGGTGTGTGGTGAGCCAGACACGAGACGCCATTCTTCCCCTCTACGCTGTGCTGATTAGACCTCAATTGGCAAGGCTCGCTGAGGGTGCTGTGCAGCGGGAGAGGTCAGGAATGGAGCCTGAATCTGACCCTTGCCCTCCGAAGCTGAGCCTAGCCTCCGTCGGGTCAGAGCAGAGCGCCTGGCCTTCCCACTCCCCCTGCCATCCCAGCGCTGAGCTGCAAGGAGACTGCAGGTCCCAGCTGCCTCTCGGGGCTCTCCTGGGATTTGCGGTTGCTGGAACATAGGCAGCCTGGGTGACAGCTCTCCTCCCTCCCCACGCCTGTGCTCTCCAGATGGAGCTGGTGCTCTTGGGGCCTGGCTAGTGCAGTCCAGGGTAGGCCATGGCCAGCGAGTGAGATGAGCCAGGCGCTGCTGGCCGTAGGCTCTGGGCTGGACCGGAGCTGCAGCACAGCAGCTGGGGGAAAGGCCTCGTTCCTCTCCCACAAGCATCTGGCAGTGCCCAGGCCCCTGCAGGACATGCTGTGAGTTAAGGAGAGAGGCTGACGAACCTTCCTGCCAGTGCAGGGCATCAGTCGCCGCTCCCGGCGCCGCGAATTTCCCCGGCCCCTCGAGGACATGCTGTGAGTTAAGGAGAGAGGCTGACGAACCTCCCTGCCAGTGCAGGGCATCAGTCGCAGCTCCGGGCCCTGCGAATTCCCAGGCCAGGGGCTCATGGAGCTTACCCTGGCCCAGACCACGGCTAGAAGGCTCTGGGGAGCAGACTGGTTGTGCCCCTCCACTGAGGGAGACCCACCTTCCTCTTGTCCAGCGTGGTTGCAGTTTGGGGGCTACTTTGGGTCCTTATCTGCTTGTGGATTTGCAGCTGGCATGGGGGTCCCTGGTCTGGCGCTCGGGGTGTTTAGTGCCATGCTGCGGGGGCTCCCGGCACGTACCCTGCTCTACCCAGTAACGGGCCCACTGAGCACTGCTCGGCTTTCAGCCTGGCTCCCCTGCCCCGGCTGCCGCAGGCTGGGAGCACTGAGCTGTGTTTGTCCCTCTGTCCACACAGTGACCACCAGCAGCCCCATGAAAATGCTGTACGTCATGTCTGACGCCAGGCTGTCTGCGCTCACCAAGTCTGTGATGGCTGAGGCTGCCTGCGCCCCCCTGAAACCTGCGGGAATCCAGGCTCCCTCCTCGTCTGCCTGCTCGTCCTCCACCAGCTCACCCTCTGGGGCCGTGGCCTTCCCTGCTGCCACGGCAGCCAGCGCCCCGAGCCCGCCCTGCAGCCTGGTGCATTCCAAGGGGGGCCCCGCTCTGCAGAACGCGGCCAAGACTCTTCTCCTGACCTCCGCGGTGGCAGCGAAGGGGGACGGGCCCCTGGGCCGCAGGGCGGAAAAGGTCGGCCACACCCTGGGGGCAGTGGAGACCCTGGGGAAGGTGCCCTCTGTGGTAGACAACGGGAGCACCATCCTCCACTCCAGGGAGACTTTGGGAAGCAGACTCTGGCTGCCACAGGGCATGCTGCCAGCTGGGGCTGGCACCACCCTTATAACGCTGGGCAGCAGCCTCAGCCCCTCTCTCCTGGCAGCAGCGGGGCCCCCCGCCAGCCAGAAGCACTGCTCTGCCATGAATTGGAGTTTTGCCGTTGGGATGAACTAGCACTGCTGGCCCGGACGGGGCCGCGCGGACGTTTCTTTTGGTTTGGGGGTTTCTGTTGCCGTTTAATAAAACGTTTTTTTTTCCACTCGCGGGCTCTTCATTGAGGCGTTCTCCTTTGAGAGCTGCCTGGCCTGGACATCACCAGGCAGGTTGGCTGTGGGGCTTCAGAGCGCCCGCAGGACCTGCGAGTGGAGTAAACAGGCTCTTCCTTTGGCTGGGTGCAGCCGTGTGTTACACACGGGCGTGTGCGCCCAGGGCCTGGGTGGAGAGTTGGGGTTCGAGCCCCTCCCCTGGCTATTTGAGAAGCTCTTCCCCCTCCCACTCCCCTGGTCCTTCTCGCATGACCAGAGAACAGCCGTCCCCACTGCACGCCCGGAGCTGCAGCCGGTTCAGTGCCAGGCAGCGTGAACCCCGTTTCCTTTTCCCTTGTCCCCGCTGGCCCCAGTGTATATAGCAATCTCAGCCACACCGTACCCCCGCCGTTGCCTTGCCCCACCCAGCAATATGAGTGCTACAGAAGACAGAGAATCCGAACCCCTGGAGAAGTGGGGAGCAGAGCCACGGAAGAGTAACAGAAGGAGGGTTTCACAACCCCCGCTCTTGACAAGTGGGTCCTTCTTGACCCACGTTTTCATCCAGTCTCCAAGCTCTTCTATTTTGCTGCAGGTGATGGGCCCGGTGGGCTTTGTCTCAGCCCCGAATTGCCTTATTCAGTGTGAGTGGCTAGGGCAGGGCGCGAGGAGGAATGGGCGCAGGAGCAGCTGGGTCTATTCCGTGGGGAAGGGGTTGGGATGCCAGATGCGGGCTGTAGTCAGGAGGCACTTACCGAGGAGGCTCACGGCCAGCAGGTCCCTCAGGCAAGCTCCCTGCCAGCCATGGCCTCGCGCCGCTCAGAGCAGCTGGCTGCAGGGCCGAGTGCTGCTCTTGGGCGCTGCCCACGAGGCTTTGCGTGGTGCCCTGCCTCCAGGACATTTCGCAGCCCCCCAGCCAGTGGTGTGTCCATTACCAAGAGCGCCTTTGAGCTGCCGTTTATGGGCAGTTCTCTCCTTGCCCATCAGCAAGGCCAGGGGCAGCGTCACTACCTTTTCCTGTGGGAATACAGGGCTCCTGGTGACCTTGCTCAAATTTAAGCAGGTGTGTCTAGACTGGCAAGTTTTTCACAAAACCCAGCCACTTTTGTGCAAAAGCTTGCCAGCTGTCCACACTGGCTGTTTGATTTTGCGCAAAAGCACTGACGTTCTACTGTCCGAAATCAGTGCTTCTTGCGCAAATGCTCTGACGTTCCCGTTCGGGCAAAAGCCCTTTTCCGGAAATGTTTTTGTGCAAGAGGAGAGGGTGCAGACGCTAAAAACTGTTTTGCGCAAAAAAGCCCCGATGGCGAAAATGGCAATTGGGGCTTTTTTGTGCAAAACCGCGTCTAGATTGACACACACGCTTTTCTGTAAAAAGTGCTTTTGCTAAAAGCGTCCGTGCCGGTCTAGACGCTCTGTTCCACAAATGCTTTTAACGGAAAACTTCTCTGTTAAAAGCATTTGCGGAAAATCCTGCCAGTCTAGACACAGCCAAGCAAGTTCAATGGGAATTAGTCAAAATCCTGTGGTATCCCCCCGGACATGCTATAAAAACTCCCAGGCCCAGCAGGGAAAGGGGGACGTGGGGGCTCAGGTATAGGTGTAGCCAGCGTTGACTGGTGCTTATCCTGTGTCCTGAGCCCCTGCTCACACCCCCAACCCTGACTCCTGTGTACTCCCTGCCCTGAGACTGATGGCCTAGCCCCTGCTGTGACTCCTGCACCCCTCTTCACCCCAACTCTCTTCACTGAGCCACTCCACACACACCCAGCCCTCTGCCTGAGCCCCCCAGATTCCACATCACACATTTCTTACAGGGACTCCTGTGTAGCCACCCCTCTGGCGGGGGCCTGGGGTAGGAGCTTGGGGGTTGGCAATGCAACAGCGCCCAATAAGAAATGGAAGTTACTTTCACCCCGGAGCAGCTCATACCCGCAAGGGGCTGGCCCAGGGGCAGGACTTGCCCTGAAGGGAAGGGGTGGGTGTGGCAGTGACATCACAAGGGCCTTTTGTAGCACCTCAGCTTATTGGTTAAAGGAAGCAGGGAGGTGATGACCTCATAGAGAGTCCATGACAACGGCCAGGTGGGACAGGCTCAGAAACATACTCCCCCCGCCCGCCCTGCCTCCAGGCTGTGTCACGGGAAGTCTCGAGATCTGCTCTAGAGGACTCGGGCTATGGCTGCACTGGCAGCTTCTTGCGTGAGAAATGTGCGAATGAGGCTAAGCTTGGCATATCGCTGAGCCTCATTTGCATACCTAATGAGCCGCCATTTTTGCAGAAGAGGCTCTTGCACCAGAAGGAGCATCTACACTGCCCCTTTGTGCGCAAGAAAAGCCCTCTTTAACAACCTTACTCTGCCTTTCTCTTTCCAGGAGCAGCAGGTACCACAGGCATAATCACTCCAGCCACAACAGCGCTATGTCTACACTCGTGGCTTCTTGCGTGAGTAATATGCTAAGTGTGGAATATCGCTGAGCCTCATTTGCATACCTAATGAGCCACCATTTTTTTCAGAAGAGGCTCTTGCGCAAGAAGGAGCGTCTACACTGCCCCTTTGTGTGCAAGAAAACCCCTCTTGGGCAAGGCCGTTCTTCCTGAACAGTAATAGGAGTAACGGCATCGCGCAAGAGGGTTTTCTTGCTCAAGAAGGGGCAGTGTAGACAGCTCCTCTGGCGCAAGAGCCTCTTCTGAAAAACATGGTGGCTCATCAGGTATGCAAATGAGGCTCGGTGATATTCCACCCGTTGCCTCATTTGCATATTACTCTGGCAAGAAGCTGCGAGTGTAAACATAGCCCAGGTTAGTTATTTTAGAACTCACTGCTCAAAGAATTACATTGTGTGAGAGGGAACTGAGACTTACGACTTGCACAGACCAGTCAAACCCAGAACTAACCCACTTTGCAAGCAGTGAAAGTAGCAACAACCACAACCCCCCGTACGTGCTGGGTCGGGAGATGAGCAGGCAGGAGAGGGTGTGTGTGAGAATGACAGACACACACACACTGTGAGGGTGACAGATTTGCATTGCCAAGCTCCCGCCATCCCCTCCTCTCTGTGTGGCGAGAGGGTACAGAAGTGAGGGGGAGCAGGGACACCCTGAAATCAGCGCCCCCCCTTCTCCCTCCCACACCCTGCACAGCAAGCAGGAGGCTCCCGGGGGCAGGAGCAGCATGACAGCGGGGGGAGGGGCTACTGAAGTTCAAATGAGCGTCCTCGTGATTGTTCAGCAAGTGGTGTAGATGCTCGAGCACACAAGTGACTCGGGAACTGCCCAGAGACGCACACTGGTGAGAGGCGGAACAAGCCCCAAGCTGGCTCATTCGCTGGGCCTGCGAGAGAACACTGGTCCCCCCCAGTGCAGCCAATCAGCACTGAGCCTCAGGGACAGGAACTTGTGGGCTGCCCCAGAGGGCACAGGGATAGCTGGGGTCACTCTCTGAGCCCCCTCTCTGCGGGCCTCCCACCACAAGGGCTAAAAAGCAGTCCGCTCCCCGCCAATGGGAAGCAGGGAAAAGGGAAACCAGACACCCCCAATGTCCCCAGTGATGAGGAGGGACAAAGGCCGAGGTGGGCAAAAATCTCCCACCTTAGCCAAGTGTTTTCCCTGCCTTCAATGTGGCCGGTGCCAGCTGGATCAGCCCCCAAACCTCTCACCTCCCCCCTGGAGACCTCTGCCAGCTAGCTCCAGTGTGAGACAGGAGAACACGCCAAAGAGGCTCCCCTGTTCATGCTCACATATATGACCCTGAATGCTTCTTGGCTATGGCTACACGTGCAGCTTCTTGCAGGAGAAATATGCAAATGAGGCTAAGTGTGAAATATGGCCAAGCTGCATTTGCATACCTAATGAGCCACCATTTTTGCAGACGAGGCTCTTGCGCTAGAAGGAGCTGTCTACACTGCCCCTTGCACAACAAAACCCCTCTTGCGCAATGCCGCTACGCTGATTATTTTCAGGAATACCGGCATTGCGCAAGAGGGGTTTTCGTGTGCAAGAAGGGGCCGTGTAGACAGCTCCTACTGGTGCAAGCGCCGCTGCTGCAAAAATGGTGGCTCATTAGGTATGCAAATGAGGCTCTGCAATATTCCATGCTTAGCCTCATTTGCATATTTCTTGCGCAAGAAGCTGCGAGTGTAGCCGTAGCCACCAGCGTTCTCAAGTGGGGCTTTGCATTGCCAGCGCAGATGTGGCCTGAGCCTTTCACCCTCCCCAGCGCAGGCGCTGTCTGACTGGAGGGGACTGTTCTCGTGGGTCCCGGAAAGTGTCAGGCCTCCCTAGCTCCTCCTGCCTGCACCCTCTTTGTACTCCCAGGGTAAGGCCTTTCCCCAGGGGCAGGTCTAAGGAATGTGCATATTAAATGTATAGAGCCCCTTTCAAACTCCCCTCACAACTTCCACTAGCTGCTCCACTGCGCTAGACCTCTGGCCAATTCGGGGCAGGGCCTTTCCCCCTTGG